GATGCTCGCACGGGGGACTCTGCCCGCACCCCAGCTCTGGGGGATGCTGCAACGGGGGGGTCCGGCGGGGCTGGGCGAGCAGTGGTGGTACATCATCCCAGCAGCACGCACATCCCGTGCGAGGTGTTGTTAACAGCCCTGCTGTCCCCCCAAACTGGGTGACTATGAATGAACGCACTGTGGTGCGTGGCTGTCCCATCTGCTGTAAGAGCTTTGACCTTCTCCCGGGGACTGGAGACGAAGTCGCCCGCCATGTTACTGAAAGCTGAACGAGAAAAAGCCCATCTGGGATCTTCTGTTTCTCAGCCAGCCTGGTAGGAGCTGCCATTCACCTGTCGGATACAATTGCCTATGCATAAGATTTTGGGAAAACAGGCAAGTATCCTGCGGGGAACGTAAAAGAATGAAGGTGAGTATATTTTTGCACAAATTTCTCACAAATTTGGGGGCCTGGTTTGCAAAACTGCTGGCAGTAGAGAGATTCAAATATTTCTTAAATTTTTGGAAAAAAACAAAAGAGAACATAAAGCCTGGGACCTGGGCTACTCAGCACATCACACACCTCATATCCACCTCAAACTGCACCAGTGTATTCACACAAGCTCCGTGGGAGCAAGACTCAGGCGCAAAAGGAGGAAACCCTATCAGTGCTGTGATTTGGCTCCTCATTTTAGAGGAGAAGCTGAGGCTGTCACTCACGTGCTTACCAGGCACAGAACCTGTTTGGCCTTGCGGTGGGTTTCTGGCAACGACTGCCTGTCTCCCTCTCTCTTCACTCCCCACAGCCCATTTACAATGGGTGCAAGGAGGTGGGGTGGACCTCCTGGGGGCTGGTGTACACAGATCTTTTGGCTAATCCCTTTCCTCTTCTTGTGTCCTGGGATGACAGTCCCAAGAGTTGCCGACCCTATCAAGATGTTCCTGCCTTGTAGCACATCTCTGCTTCAGGTATCTTGTTGGATTTTATTGACAGACTTGACTGCTAGCATCCAGTCAGTGGGGTAACAGCCAGACCTTGTGCTGGTGCCGAATTCAGGCCTGTCACAAGCCACAGCTCTGTCCCCTGGTCCTGCCTGCTTAAGCCACCTGGGTGTGCAGGACCTGCTAGGGCACTGGGACAAACAACAGCAACACACCATCTCACAAATGCTTTGCCTTAATCTCCCAAGAAGGTCGACCAAGCACCCAAAAAGGTCTTGATAGAGGTACTATCTAGCCTAGCTCATGGGGCACTTGCTGCCTGTGTGGTGAGTCTATACCTTGCCCCATGGGGGTACTGAGGTGTGTAACAGGGCCGTGCTCCGAGGAAGGGATCTCTCATGTTGAGCCATATCTGAGTCCAAGAAATGGGCTGCTGCAGAAGGTGCAGATGGCGTGTAAGGGAATATTTTTTGACCTTGAAGACAGTCAAGCAATGGGGCAGGTCATGCAGGGGGATTGTGCAGCCTCTGTCCTTGGAAGTTTTCAAGACCCAGCTGTATGAAACCCAGAATAATGTGGTCTGACCCCAACAGCTGACCCTGGTTTGAGGATGAGGTGGGACTAGAGGTCTCCTGGGGTCCCCCCACTCATCTGAGGGTTGTTCTGTCTCAAGAGCTGTGTCCATATGCTCTGCTCACCTGTGGGATCTGGGAGAACCTGCCTGCTCCTGCAGCCCTTGCCCATACCTTTCCCTTGGAGCTGCAGTGCTTGCCCTGCCTCTTCACCATGGGAAACTCCCCACGGTCCCCATTCCTCCACTCCTCCCACTTGCTGGAGTGGCAGCCCCCAGCTTAGATTTGAGTCACCATATAGCAGATATTTGCAGTTTTTGCTTTTCAAGACTGACAGAAAATGGACACACGACATGGAAAAGCATTTGGTGAAGTGAAAGGACTTGTATGTCCTGTTTAAAATGTGGGAAATTCCCCAGATTTCCATGCTTTTCATGTAAATTGTCCCTTCTCCAACCCATTCCCTCCCCAAAAGCCCCTGCCAGTTCCATACCTAAAACTCACTTCTCCCCAAATATCCCTGTTCAATGTTCTGGCCACTCAGCACATCCTGACACCTACTTACCTATGCAGCTGCCTCAAAAGATTATTTCTGTTCTCCTAAGCTTTCTTTTTTTGCCCAGTCTTGAGCTTTTCCTGGCACTCCCTCCCCTCCTTTCCCTCACACTGTTGAGGCCAGGCTCATTAGAAAGAGCCCAGGCAACACAGAGACAAGGACATAGAAATCAGGTATGTACTCACATTTCCAGCCCAAGTGTCACCGACCAGCAATCCTTCACCCCCCCTGCAGTGCCTTCCCATGGCACAGCCTGATGGCCCAGGTCCTTCGCCCCCCCTGCAGAGCCTTCCCATGGCACAGCCTGATGGCCCAGGGAAATCCTCCTTCTCAAGGAGTCCTTTTTAAGGCAAGTCTTCCTGGCGGTGCCTCTTGTTTTATCACTCCACTGCTGCATCCTGAAATACTGTTTTCTTTCATACCCGTGTTCCCATAATGCACGAATGGGTCTGGAGTTGTACCTCTCAGATACGGTTTTGAGCTGTTCTTGAGTAATTCTTCCTAGTACTGGCTTGCAAAGAGTTGCAAATAGCAATACTCACTTCTGACAGCTTGTGGGATCACCTTGGAGATATTTGAAAGCCATCTGGACATGATCCTGGGCAATTGGCTTTAAGTGGCCCTGCTTGAGCAGGGTTGGACAAGATGACCTCCAGAGGTCCCTTCCAACCTCAACCATTCTGTGTAATTCTGTGACATCATGCAGTGGAATCCCTAACCACCCCCACACAGCCGGAGATGTATCATGCTCATCTTTCCAGAAAAATAATGGATACAGGGCCATGGACCCTAGATTCAGTTTCCTAACACTCTTCTGGTATGGCTGGAAGTCTTTTGGGTACACCACTGTGTGCATCCCTTGACTAAGCTGCAATATAGGTGTGACTTGAAACATCCCTGGCTGCCTGCAGTCCCCAGGGTTATCTGTTACAGTTGGATTGGCAGATATAGCACAGACTTATGGGAAACTCAAACCTTCTTGCACTGGAACCAAAATAAGATGATGTAGGACATTTCCAGCAGTGCTAGTTATCTGTGTTCAAGCAGCCAAAGCAAGCTCCTCTCAGTTGTTCACTCCTTAAATGCTGCTGGTGGTATTGACTAGATTGTCATTGACTTTGATGGGCGTGTAGGTGCTGACTTATGTGTAGATACCTACAGTCGGATGTCATAATCTTGAACTGAATCCCATTCCTATAACCAGTCAACTGAATCTCTTTCCTTACTTTTTGCTTTCCGGTGGGGAGGAACTGATTACCATGGGATGAACTATATCAATATGACAGCAATCTGTTGGCCTATTTTTCCTGAAAATATGCACAACTTTTTTTTCTAATGTTGATGGAATTTTGTTACAAGTTAGGTTTATGCATGCTGGAGTCATGTGTTCTTAAGACAGTGATCTATTTTAGACGTGCTTGAAAGCTAATGATTGTGTAGAAGAAGGGAAAAAGGTTTAAACATTTTGTAGTTAATGTACAGATTTTATGGCTTATTTCTGTAATCTCTGTAATATTTTGGACAGTTACATTAAATATATTCATTTATTCATTATACAGACTATGTACATTTCTCAGTATTTTCCAAGGAAAGCTAAAATGTCCAAACCCTTTACAGACTTTGACGAATGTATTAATTCTTTGATTTTTAAGCTTTCAACTGGGAGCAATTTTCAGAAAATCAGTGAGACTACCTAGGCAGAGGCACTTTGCTGAAGAATTGTCCTCTCCCAAATGTCCTCCTTAGAGCATGCTTTACTACTTTGTTTTGTAAGCTGTAGATGGTTGGGGTCAGCATAGGAGTTGCTACTGTGTAAGAAAGAGCCACAGGTTTCCTGCTGTTTGCCAAGAGTCTGGACTTTGGCTTTAAATGTATCAAGCCAGTTGTGCAGTAGAACATTGTCACCACCGCCAGATGAGCAATGCAGGTGAAAAAAGCTTTATGTCTTCCTTCGGCAGATGGCATTCGGAGGATCATAAAGATTATCTGGATGTAAGAGGCTGCTATCAAGATAAGTGGGATCAAAACAATTACAGGAGTAGCAATGAACACAAAAAGCTTGAATAAGTATGTGTCTGAACAGATCAGATCAAGAATGGAAGCGAAATCGCAAAAGAAATGTTCAATCTCCTCTGAGCCACAAAAGGGGTAGCTAAATAGCCAACCAGTGAGTCCTACAGAAAGCGGAATACCAGCAATCCAGCATGCTATGACCATATGAAGACACACTCTCCTGTTCATTGTTACGGTGTAGTGCAAGGGATGGCATATAGCCACGTATCGGTCCTATGCCATGGCACCCAAGAGGAAACACTGAGAAGTGACGACAAATATGACAAAGTAAATTTCTGCACAGGCAGAAAAGGAGACGACCTTTCTCTCTTTCCTGGTTTCGGCTGCGATAGAGTTAAATTTCTTCCTAGTGCTGTGTTTTGGATTTAGTATGAGAAGAATGTTGATAACACACCAATGTTTTTAGTTGTTGCTAAGTAGTCTGCTAGTCAAGGACTTTTGAGCTTCCCATGCTCTGCCAGGTGCACAAGAAGCTGGGAGGGAGCATAGCCAGGACAGTTAACCCAACTGGCCAACGGGGTATTCCATACCATATGATGTCATGCTCATTATATAAATAGGAGGTGTGGTCCAGGAAGTAGCGATCACTGCTTGGGCATCGGTCAGTGGGTGGTGAGAAATTGCATTGTGCATCACTCATTTTGTATATTCTATCGTTATTTTTTTTTTCCCCCTTCCTTTTCTGTTCTGTTAAACTGTCCTTATCTCAATCCACGAATTTTACTTTTTTTTTCTATTCTCACCCCCATTCCACTGTGGGGGGGGATGGGGGGGTGGGGAGTGAGCGAGCGGCTGTGTGGTGTTTGGCTGCCTGCTGGTTAAACCACAACAGTCCTTCCTGGTGTGCAACGTGGGGCACGAAGGGTTGAGATAACGACAGATCTGACCCGAGCTGGTTAAAACAAATTTGTTATAAGCATTCATTATATCAGTTTAGTAGTCGCTGGTCACAATGTTTGTTTGTTTGCTCTCAGAGTTGTTGGATCTGTTCTTGGAGTTGTATTATGTAGCACCTTACTGTCTGTATATACTGTTTATCAGTATTTGTGTGCTGTTTATCACCTCTGGGAGATGGATTAATGTCATCACTTTGCTACTCTGTGTAACACTGGCATATAGTATGATAAACTTATTGGTCATGAGATTGTACTCAGCGCTGCTGTCATCCCTGTGTTTTGGGACCTATCTCTCGGAAACTATTAATAATTACACATTTTACCTCTTCTCCTTGGAGAGCCAATTTACAGGGGAGACACCTTCCTTCACCTTCCCCTTCTCCTCCAGGCTGAGCGC